TATGTGTCGTTTACTGCGCGCCCTCCTCTCGCCTCCCTTCCCTCCTTCCTTCCCCCTCGCTCTCTCGCTCACTCACTCACTTCAGCTCTCTTGCTCCCCCTTTATCTTTCTCATCTGTTAACTTTTCGAATGCTTTGTGTGGTCCATTGTCTCACAGATTCAATTCAGCTGGCTTTTGAAAACATCTTGATGCTTTTTGTACTAATATACATTTTGGGTCCATGATGACTGCAAAGTAACAAACTACAAAACGAAGTAAGTTTGGTATAAGACATTTAGATTTTTGATTATTTATAGTAATATATTTCATTCTATTTGGCTGTTATTATTATTTTATTTATTCATTCATTTGATTTTATTTATTTTTTAAATTATTTTTAGTTAATTATTATTATTCATATTATCAAGGATTATTATTTTAAGTCTTCACTCTATGCAGCTCTGGAAAAAAAAAAAGAGACATTACAAAATTATCAGTTTCTCTGGATTTACAGGTATGTGTTTAAGAGTAAAATTAACATTTTTGTTTTATTCTGTAAACTTGAGAAATTACAACATTTCTCCCAGATTCCATATAAAAAATATTGTCATTTGTTTGCAGAAAATGACAACTGGTCAAAATAATAAAAATATGCCATGTTTTCAGATTTCACATAATGACACATTAAAGCTGGAGTTATTGCACCAAATAAAACATTAGTATTGTGTGTTTTTTTTTTTATTCATATTAACTTGTTTTCTTGCCATTATTCGAGATCTGAAAGCACTGTATTGTTTTTGTTATTTTGACCATGTATCTCTTTTTTTCTGAATAAAACAAAAATGTTCAATTTACTGAACACATACCTATAAATAGTAGACTGGTTATTTTGTAGTGGTCTCCATTTTTAATGCTATTTAGGTTTATTAACAAATAGTAACAAAAATACCAATTTACATGAACAAATATAAAAAAACAACAACAAACGGTATAATTTGTAGTGGTCTCTATATTATTAAGAAAATAACAATGAGAAATTATTTAAAAATTAGAAATTATATTAATAAAAATGTGAAATGTTTCCCTGGCAACTAACTGAAATATTTTTAAGTTGAAGCACAAAAACTACAACTGAACTACAAATAAAATTGAAATAAATTAAACATAAATAGCAACATAAAAATGACAAAAGCACGTAACAAACGGACTACAAATTTAACTAAAATTAAAATGAAAATATAAAAATAAACGTTAATTCAGAATATTAACAGTATATAGGGTTAATTCAGGTTAATTGGTCCATTTTCCCCAGTCATCTTAATGGCAAAAAGTGTTCCAATTTACATGAACTCACTATAACTGCGCACAGTACGTAGCCTACTAGCTATATAACGTTACTATAGGAAACGTCGCACGTATGCTATTCTAACAGCTATAAACAAACATACCAAGGCTAGTAATGCCAGGAGGGATCATTAATTTATAAATAAATGAACAGTTAGTGAGGGGACAAGAACTCTTATTTGTGCGACACATATCTTGGTCAGATTAGCCTTCTCGCGCGTTTATGTCGATGTACAATGGCCTGTAGATGCAATGTGCAGCAGACGTTGCCCTTACCAATTACCAGTTAGGCGAGGAACTTTACTTCACTCGTTAAGAAACTACAGCTGCTACAGTAGCCTCTCTGTTTGCAAAACCATTCAGATTGTGGGACATTCGTGTCAGAGCACGAGAGACATTAACATGAGACGACGAGCCGCTACCGAGACTGTCACAGCAACATGATGGCGTTGCTTGGCAACCGGGTGGCTCCGCTGAAAGGCAACCGAATCTCAGCTGAAACGAGGCCAGATATCTTCCCCTTAAATGACACGTCAAAACAGGGAAGGAAGTCATCAGAAACTGGAACGGGTCCTGTGCAAAGTGCAAGCTTAAAGTTTAATCCCATACTTACGCAGCTACACCTGCTCAAGGTTACGGGATGTTTATTTGTCCGTTTACACGCTCCGTATCGGTCATTTTCTCTCTGTTTCACAAAAAACACCGAAATAACTCAAAGGGAATCGATGTTTTAAGCTCAAAGCAAACGAACTGACAAGAACTCATTTGTAGCTGCAGAATTCTACGATCTGCCACAGCAAAGGATCGATATTTTATACAATGTAGAGGCCTTCATTTCATGCCCATTTTTTTCCTACCAATTTTCTCAAGGAAAAAAAAAAACATTCTATATTTTTTTTATATACATTTAATTTAGATATATATAGCATATCAATTTGATTTTCTTTAATATAATATTTTTTTATGTATGCAAATGTTCTGTCTACCATGTTACTGACCAAACAACGCCATGGAAGCCTGTTGGGTACATTGTTTTTGCAATATTTTATGATTTAAGTTTAAATACATATTCAAGTATGAGGTTAACGTGGTCTAGAAAATAACGTGGTTGCAGCATTTGAAATTATAAGTCAAAATGGTGAAATTGTCAACCGTTACTTGTCAACTAAGTTACTATGTAGAGCCAATTGGTGGATAACGTTTGTCATAATCAGACTTTGTCCACTGACGAATTGTTGAAATGCCATATATTGTTTTTTATAATAAATTTAACCTTATGTTTCAGAGGAGATAAATATGAGCGAACAATGTGTGTAGTTAATGTTTCTGGTTGCATTTTTTTTCCATTTTATTAATTATAATAATAATAATAATACTTTTACAGTATATTTTATGTCCAGACAGGTTGGTGTTCTGCATAACATCTCTTAAAATTCTTTAAAGGGGTCCTATTATGCTCTTTTACAAAGTCTTGATTTTGTTTTGGGGGTGTACTAGAACATGCTGTATTTCCATGAAATACCTGCACATAGATCCTTGCCTCTGCCTGTTTTCCCGCAGCTTCTCCACAACGTTTACAGTTTATCACTGGCATTATTAAAATACCTTTCTCCCCATCCTGCCACAAACGGCTCGATTAGTTCCGGCTTTGATGAAGGTCCGCCTTCCGAAAAACAAAATGTCTTGTGATTGGTTCGCTGTCCCAGAGCGTTGTGATTGGCGGACAGCTTAGACGGTGTTTCAGTACTGCCACGCCCCTTGCTCCGTCTTTCAACAAAAGCTTTTGGCGAATCCGGCACTACTCACTTGTGATGTGGAAGCTGTCCTCAGTAAAATGCGCAGCACACAATAGCAAATTGGGGTTATAATGCTCAGGAACAGAGTTAAAAAGTAAATTGCAACCACTGTTTCCTGACATCATCACCCCTCCCCACCCCCCAACCATTCGAATTTCTGTAGGCGGAATTATTTGTAATGCTATTCTAATGAGCCACTTTGTGATATCACAAAGCCCGGAAAACAAACGCTGTAGTCCAAACGAGCCGTTCGTTGTAGTTCTTGAAAAGGGATTTTTAAAAAACGAAATATCTCCCTTTGGAGTGGACTTTGAGATTTGTAACTTTCTAGATCTTTTTAATGCCCAAACATACACACTACACACTGACTAACATTAAAAAAAGTGAAAAAGCATAATAGGACCCCTTTAAGGAAGATTTATGATTTTTTTTTTTAAATCTGACCTTAGTAAATGTACCCCCAGTTATAAAATGAGGTGTCACTGTGAAGTATCACATTCCTTTCCTGTTTCAGAGCTTCAAACATGGTTGAGATAGCAATCGCAGTCCACGCTTTCCATCCAGGTGCCCCATTTTGCACAGAAGCGAATGAAACTGCCAGTTCCCAGATGGATTGCGTTGCCCTGGGCACTGCCAATCTGCTGGAAACACACTGCGACCTTGAATCACAACACTCGGGTTGCTGAGGTCAGAATTACAGCTTCTAAACAACAGAAAGACAAGAGCATCCCGGGACATCCGTAATATCAGTAGGAAAAGGGATATGGGATCATGGGATAGGGCACGGAGCTGATGCTATTTTGAACATGTTTAGTTAAAGATGGCAAAATGACAATAGACCAGGGGTGTCATTTCTTATGACACCCCTTCTTTCCCCATTTCTTTGGGGAAGTCGTGGCCTAATGGTTAGAGAGTCGGACTCATAACCCAAAGGTTGTGGGTTCAAGTCTCGTACCGGCACTTTCATTTATGATTGTAGAGCAGATTTGACTAAATCAGGTTCTTAAACAGGGGGCCTTATAAAACTTCAAGGGGGCCCTGAAATGATTTAGTTATACACAACCTTAATTAAAATGCTAATACTGTATAAAGAAAGAAAAATGTACACAAAGCCCAGAATATACTTTATGCTGCTTTATCCACCATTCACCATTAGATTACACAAAACTGGTAATTAGACAATATTAAATTACAACAATATTGTCAAAAAAAGAGAAAACCACTCACTGTTCTTGACTGGATAACTTGAGCTGTAATAAGTCACCTGAAATTGATCAACACAAAATTAAGCCTTATAACTCCATCTCAAGCACTAACAGCATCAAATCAGTATTAAATAATCTAAAATGTAATGGAGAAACAATGAGAAATTTACCTCTAATATGTCCCTTTCCATTTTCCATGTTGTCATTATTTTCATGAATGACTCACACAGACTTTGAGAAAAATACATATTAATTTGTTTCATCGATATTCATATGGGTATATTGACCCCTGGAATAATTATTTCGGGATTGGTCACTGTTTATAGAACCTTTTCATGTCTGCTTAAAAGGTTAGTTAACCCAAAAATGAAAATTCTATCGTCAAACACTCATCTTTAACTTCAAATCTGTCAAATCAAATCAAAGTCAAATCTGTATGACTTTGTCTACTGTGAACAATTTTTATTTTTGGGTTAACTATCCCTTTAATATTTCACAGGTCTTTTTTCCCCTCACATGTGCATCAAATCAACATTTTGCATTTCCACTTCTGAGCAGTACTATAAAAAACAGGAACAGTAATCCAATTTTTATGTATAAATAAATGGAATAAAGCAGCTTCAAAAATAGAGCAATCGTGTCTGACACCACACAGTGAAAAAGACACACTGAAAGTGAGAAATTAATAATTTTTAATAGAAAGTGAAAAATTGCACTCTAATAATATAGTTATGCTTGATTCATACTTTACACCTGTATACAGTTGTATTAGTATGCAAAGATTGTGATCCCTGTTAGGGTGCAGGTTGTAAATAGGATTCAATCACAGCTTTACTGATTATGCGGTGGTGGAGGTGGGGGCTGGAACATAAAGCCCTGATTTGGCCCTGGGGGCCACGGGGCCATTCCCATGTGAAAGGGTGGCGGTCTGGGAAAAGGTGGCATCATTGGGCCCTGGAAGGGAAACGTGTGGATCTGGAGGGGGGAACATGTATTCCGGTGGGAAGGGGGGGCGAGCGTGATAGTTGCTATGGAAACCGCCACCACGATTGTGGTGCTGCCCACGGGGAACGTTGCGGTTCTGTCTGGGCTTCCGCCGGCCGGATTTATGAGGGGGCGGACCTTTATGGGCATCCAATTCATCCTCTGGAAAGTAAAAACAGTGATTAACAGAGCAGTTAGCGCATATAAACATTATGTGTGGTGCTCATTCAGGTTCGAATTCAGATCACGTCGGTAAAAAAACAAAAAAACAATTGAACATAAAATTGACCGTTTGACTCACCTGAGTCAGAATCATTTTGTTGCCGTCTCTTTTGCTCTTTAAGCTTCTGTTTGGCCAGCCTCTCTTGCTCATCATCGCTAAAATCAAGTGCCTACATACACACAGAATAAAAACCAATCGGTGGAGAGGCTAAACCATCACTTATTAACAGATAATACTGATGGCATACTATTAGGGCAGGGTATCACTCTATTCAGTAGAGTTTAAGCCTTTGTTGACCTGATTTTCTAAATAATTTTTACAAAAAGGGCACATTTACCTCAAGGGGTGGTTCCTGGTCATTTTTCCAGAATGCATCTGAGCCTTTGGTCCTTGTTTGAGAGAAATAATTTGTAAATGTTTTTCGGAAAAATACCATAGTAGAACAGCACTGAAGATAAGCGTATTTCAATAACATTGAGGCACACCCAAGTTTTCTTTAAAAGGGGTCATATGATGCGATTTCAAGTTTTCCTTTCTCTTTGGAGTGTTACAAGCTGTTCGTGAATAGATAAGAACCAAATACACAAACTTTTTAGCAACATCATATGACCCCTTTAATAATGAGGTGCTCACCTTTGGAGTCGCTCTGTAAAGATGTAGTCTGTGAAATCTTTAATTTTGGGGGCAAAGTAAACCACATCTCGAATTTTAAGATCTTTCTGGTCGATATCGTCATGAGAGTTGAACCTCAAAGCATAGTAAGGCTGACAAACTGGCCCGAAGACGTCAAAGATCTGAGGAGAAACCAACAACATTTTAGTCCCACAAAACTACAGATTATAGCACAATATGAAGTCTTGGACAAGAAGTCACAGTGTATATCGCCACCTAAAAGACATTTTATAGATTGTTACAAAAGTTTGGAAAAATAAAACATTGTTACTGACCTTGCCAACAGAGTTTCTGTTTTTGGTGAATAACACGCTGTTTTCATGCAGTGGTGGTGTGTTCCTGTATGACTCCACAATCACTAAATAAAATCAATCAGTTTTGTATGAAATGTCCTCTAAATTCAGCCAAGACAAAACTTGCATGGTGTCTCTCAGCTAAGATGTAAAAATATGGAAAAATGAGTTGACAAATATTGGTCTTGTTAAATAATAAATTCTAGCTGATGAATATAAAACAGCTATTTGATTTACATATACATTTTCAAGAACCAAATCAGCATATTAGAATGGTTTCTGAAGGATCATGTAACACTGAAGACTGGAGCAATGACGCTAAAAATTCAGCATTGCTTCACAGGAATAAATTACATTTTAAAAATGTATTAACACAAAAGATAGCAATAATATTTGACAATATTAATTTGTACTGTATTTTTAATCAAATAAATGCAGTCTTGGTAAGCATAAGAGACATCTTTCAAAAACATTAACCTCAAAATCTTGAACGGCAGTAAATGTATGCTTAGAGTTTGGCAGATGCCTGTATACCTAATTGCTCCACAATGCTTGATATTGTCCCAATGGGCTCCAACTCTGTATCTTCTGGAAGGCTGATGAAGAGGTTCTCAACTACAGGAAGATCCTACACACACAGAAGATACCTTACAAATTATGCTCTTTTATGCCTGGTATTAACATCAGTCTTGATTGATTTGATCACAAATGGACAGCTAAGGAAATTGAGAAATTCTGCCAACAGAAACATCATTTCGGTTTATAGATTGCCACTTAGTTCCTCCCCTCACATCGATAAGCAGCTCATCTTGGGTTTTCAATGGTGCAGGCCTTTTCTCATTGCCCATGGCAACACCTTCATCGTCATCTTCTGCGTTGTTCTTGACTAAATTAAAAGGCTCAGAGGAGGAAGAGGTTGAGGATGATGAAGAGGAGGATGTGGAGGACGAAGAGTCTGAGTCACTGGATCATATAAAAATAATAAGAACTAATCATTAAATAATCAATAATCAATCAGACTAGTTTTTTGAAACATTCTTTATGTACATAATGATCAAATTATAATCTATGAGCTTAGCAAGATGCTGCTAGGGCAGAAGGAGGTTCTTAACTGGTGATGTCAAAGCACAGACTTTAATGTCCTATTATTTTACCTGTCTGAACAGTTGTCATCCGAGCTGTTTTCTCTGTACTGCATGCTCAGCAGACCTAACGATCCAGTCCCAGAGTGTGGACTAACCAGAGTTCCACACTGCATCTCTGCAGGTCCAGTCTGAATGCTGGAGATCTGATCCCCTGTTTTTTCAGACTGAATAATGAAGATCTGATCTCCTGCCAGTCCAGACTGATCGCTGGTTAAATGTTCTCCTGTTGGCCCAAATTGACCACTGGAGCTCTGATCTCCAGTTTGTCCAGAATGAATGCTGGTGCAGTGATCTGCTGTCAGTCCAGATGAACCACCAGTGCTCTGATCTCCTGTCTCTTCAGACTGATCATTGGTGAATGCTTCTGATGTTGGTCCAAGTTGACCACTGGAGCTCTGTTCTCCTGTCAGTCCAGACTGATCAGTAGTGAAAGGTTCTGCTGTTGGTTCAAGTTGACCACTGGAGCTCTGATCTCCTAGTTGTTCAGACTGACCACTGGTGCATGGCTTATCTGTTGGTCCAAGTTCAGGACCAAAGCTCTGATCACCGGTCGTTTTAGTCTGAAACGTATTATTAATATCCAATTCCATTTTCTCTTTTTCAGATTCTTGATCCTGATTCTGTAAAAAAAACAAGATTGTAACAATTAAACAACAATGATTGTAACAATTAAAAAAACAAGATAGTAACAGTTAATACAAAATACAACACAAATGTTATTGTGATCTAAGATAATGCAAAAGTAGAAGAACTCCATGAAGTAAGATTACGCTTGTAGATTGTGGGTGCACATGTGTCAAATCTACATTTCTTATATTTAAATTGATTTAAATGTCTGCCGCTTTTTTGACTATGCCTTTTAACTTCTGATATTATATGCTTTTTAAAATGGCTTGAGCACTGGCTGAAAGCACTTTATTTAAATAATTAGGCAAATAGGTTATCGTTGTTTTGTTTTTATTATAACGCGGTAAACTACATAATACGGTCACGTGATATCAACACATGTAGGGAGCGACCCGCTACATGTCGAATAAAACAGCCTTATTCTAGAGAGAAGACTTATGTCAGTTCTTCTTCTAACATAAGTGTACATCATGTAAAATGATATGTCTCATAAGTGCGGTTCATTGCTTTATGCGTGATACTTTTTTAATTACCAAAAAAAAAAAATACCGAGTGGCCCTTTAAGTAATCAGAATGCAAGATTAAAGTAACGTTAGCCGAGAAGGGTGGCAGTAATGCCGTGTCTTGCAATCCAATTTACCAATCAACATTAGACATTTCATTCTCTCAGTGTGAGCTGTATTATCCACTACCAGTTCATAATTGTGACCTAACTGCTGTTCAGGGTTGAAGCACATGCGCAAATATTGATAATTCACGTTTAAAGTATACATTTACACTTTTCTAACAGTTAGCAGGAATTCGGTACGTACCAAAAGTGCCAAAATGAATATGAACGATGACTACATACGTAAGGAATTAGAACATTCTGGTTCTCTGTGCTTGAATTCTCCATGTTTAGGTTTCCATGTGAGAACAGCGTGAAGAAAGGCTTCAAAAATGATTTTATGTCATTGGCGTCACAACAGCAGGAACTGTACGGAGCCTTTCAAAATAAAAGTACCAATCGTCACTGTCAAAATAATAATAAAATGCTTTATAATTGAGTAAGTTAACACAACACTTGCGAAAGAGAAGCCACATAATTTCCCCTTCTTTTTAATTGTTTGCAAAGTTAAATGTAATGTCAGTTTCTCATAACGCCGACCGAGGTAAATTACTGAAGCCTCAGTATTAACCTGGACTGAAATCCTTAACGTGTTGTAATACCACAGAAAAAACTACTCCTTCGAGCCGGATTCGAACCAGCGACCTAAGGATTCCAGTGTTCGACCTCTACAGTCCTCCGCTCTACCAACTGAGCTATCGAAGGGCTGGTTGCAGCATAACATTTCAGACTAGAAATTACTTGTCAGCAAACATGTGTTAGGTTATTGTAATGTACGTTATTATTATATTTCAAATGTTTACAGTAGTTACGTAGTATATTTAAATATTACTATTTACATGCTTATTTAAAACCGCTGGTTGCGAATAAACCGAAGCAAATAAACGCTTTCCTTCCAGCTCTTAACCCACAAGTGCTCCAGTCCGCTCTACTGAGCTAAACTGAGCTATCGAAGGCCTGAGTTTTGAAATCCGCCAGTGATTGGCTTATCAGTCAACCAATCACAGCGGGAGATCTTTATGCAGAATAAGATTCAGTTTCTTTTTTTTTTTTAATCATTCACTGCGAAAATTAAATGCTGGATTCACGTCACTATTACTACTCATATTAAATGTGAATATCAGATCTGAATTTAGCTTACAAAACCTCATATAGCCATGCTACGGCTAGTGTAATGTTAATAAGTTACCAACAGATGGAGCTATGTGTCTCTACACAAATCCTTGTACATGCACATCTAGAAAGCGCAGCTTAAAGAGATAGTTAACCCAAAAATGATTTTTAATTTTTAAAATAAAATGTATTTGCACATCCATGTTACACAAAACCTGTATAAAAAAAAAATTTAAAGACAGCGTTTAGAACAAGATGAGGGTGAGTAAATTATTGCATAATTATTTTTTGGGTTCATTTTTCTGTATGAAATACTATTAAACCACAAAACTTCTAATTATACTAAACAGTAAAATTATTCACCCCCTCGCCCAGTTTGACTGACACTTGAGTCGTATTCCGATGTTCTGATGTTTTAATGAAGGATTAGGATGTTTATATGTTCTAATTTTTAAATTAATATAAATCTTTGCAGAGACACTAGTAAACCGAGACAAAAGCAGCACACACAGAAATGTCAGGAGGCCATGAACCCCACAGTGGTTTAATCCTAAAAAATATACGGCATGATTGACAACACAACCTGGATCAGATGAAATAAAGCAAATTTAAAAAAGTATGAAAAATAAATAATTGAAAATGTTATGTTTTTGATGTCAGATATAATTTGCTCAAATGTTACGAAACCTGTGACATCCTAGGACTCGAATTATGAGAACATGTACTGAGCAAGTTTCATTTTAAAGAAAAAAAAAAAAGAGAAAAAAAATGTAGGGTTTATTTATGAGTCATATCTGAAGTTTTCCAAAAAATATATATCATTAGTCACGTTAACACAGAGATAAACAATGGCACATATTGGATTTCTAATTTAAAAGTTAAGTGGTGCTCTGAGGACTGTCATATTCAGGAGACAAAGTTAAATAAATTACTACCATTAACATACATATTTGCGTATTATATACAAGGTTATTGGAACAAAAATCTACAATTCAAATTTTGTTGTCAACAACTCTGAAGTATTACCCTATTTTACACCGTGTGTGTGTGTGTGTGTGTGTTAGTTCTTGTATCTGGAATTTAAAAAAAAACCCTGCAACAGTGCAGTCCTGTGATAAACAGGTGACACTTCTATGCATCCTCACCAAGTCCAGCAAAATAGACTTTCTCTAAAGGAATAATATAAACAAACTCCTCTATGTACAGGATTCAACAGAACAGGTAACAGACTAACTAAAACACTGATTCTGACAGATCCAGGGCTCAGAGGCTGGAGAACAGAAGCGCATGACAACAGGCCTTTGATTTCAGGACAGGCTGATTCAGTTTTTCAGTGAAAAAAAAAAGCTCACTAAATAGATATGGCAGGTCTGATATCTCTTTCAGATCCATTAATACATTTCAATTTGAGAGTTTGTACCCCTTCAGAATGCATATTTAAAGTTCGCATATTTTTGTTATAGGAAATGATGAGGAACCCAGTTGTCATGGCGACCAGCTCCAATCTCTGGCCTCTGATTGGTGTAAACAGACACTTGATAACACGAAGAGGTTATAAACCCCATCCACACATAGTTTTCCCCCATTTTAGTCGGCGCTTTTCGTCTTGTAAAAATCAAAGAATTGTATTTCTGTGCATAAATTATGACAAAACACATCCCTCCTTTTCCTTCAACATCCCTTAAATTCTCAATAGCAATAGTGGTTTTAATTTTCATAATAAGAACCCAAGAATTTAGTTTGTAAACAGTCAAATCTCAATCTCCAGATGGCATTTTGATAACTGTTTGGACTTGGTCAAATGTGACAAGAATGAACGTTTTAATTATTATTTTGATGTAAATAATGTAAAAGAAAACACAAAATCCTTCATGAACCGTTGCACGGATGAAGCCAACCAATCAGAAAGGAGCGAGAGAACTTGACCAGCCAATGAGAAGGCAGAATTTATGATGTACGAGTCCAGATGACTGTGATGTGTGAGTTGTTGGACGACTCCAAGCAGTGGCATAGTGACAGTTCAGAAGAGGTTAAAGGTCACATTAGGGTCACTCTTTTGCAAGCTGTGGCTAAGTTATTGGGCACTTTTAGGCCCCTGCATAGCTGAAAGGTGCCATTGGCAGTATTTGAGCAATATGGGATGAAGAATCGCAGGTCATGCCTTTTCGAACAAGCGTAGGACAACATCCAGGGTGTATGGGCGTGTTTAAAACAAGCCGAGCACAGGGGAGTCCACAGATATCAGTCTTTAAGGGATTTCTTTGTTTTTTCGTAGCTTTTCATGTTTTTTTAAAACAAAAACGCTGAAATCGTCATCGTAAAGTTCAATATCACCAATACGGAAGCCCGTTCCAACTTCTCTCTGTACACCCCGGGAAGTGCTACCCATTGGCTATGAGCACTGTCCGTCACTGGCTTCGCCCCCCACAAAGTGTCACAGTTCTGTCCTCCGCAATGTCCCTCCTCCTACGCATCAGATAGGCAACTCTGAATACTGTCCATCCATAACTGTGCATTCGTGCTGTCCTGGGCACAGAAGTTGTACACTCTTTTGGTCGTCTTGAGCTGAAAGAGAAAGGGAAAAAAAAGGTTAACGTGGTTCAAAAAAACACACATGGACAAATAAAGCAACGGGCATTAATGGGTTATATAGGTCTTACATCAAAGAAGGCTTTGTCGTCTATGTTTTTAGGTGCTCCCATGGTGGGAGTCCCCGGAATGACAGATTCCACTTCGGCTAGCTCGATCACTCCCTTACACTCTTTATCTTGCCTTGTTTCATAGTATCGCAACTAGGAAAGAGAGAAAAGGGGTTCATAAAAGCATCAATTTCAGCCCCTTTTAATTATTCCTTATCAAAAACATATTGCAAAATAATTCATTTTAATATATAACATGCAAGAGTTGTATACTGAATCAATTATGGTTCCAAAACCAAAGTTTTCAGTGTTTGGTTTCACTGTAGCAATAAAGTACCTGGTGTTTGGTCTTATCCAGTACAAACCAACGTGGTTTCCAAGGTTTCAGCAAAGCGCCTCTTTTGTATAAAATACCCTCAAAGCTCCTACATCAAAAAAAAAAATAAAAAAATGATATATACATATATATTACATTTTTATTCTTTTATGATATAGTTTTTGAGTTCATATAAAAAACTTATTATTTATTAATAATATAATTATTATAAAAAATATCAATTATTTATGATACAATATAAAATTTATAAAATATGTGCATTATTTCTAATATGTTATTATATAAATATATTGCAAACATTTATTGTTTTTACACAACTGGACCATTTCAAATTAACTAGTGAAGGCTAAAAATGTATTAAAAACTGGGGAAAAAAAAAATACAATTTACACTTTACGTTATATATTCATATAAAATTAATTTTAACCTGAAATTTGATTTTAAAATAAGTCTATGGATATGTCATGCATCAAATACCCAATTTTGCTAGGTGACAACAACAACTTGTTTCATTTATACAACCATAACTAAAGTTGAAAATGTCATTTAACCCAAAAACAGACCCGGGGCAGCCGATGAAGTATGAAGAATGTGTTCACAGACCTGTTCTCGCTCTCAGTGCTCTGGAACTGGCTGTAGAGCGTGCTGGTACTGGGTCGACCAGCTGCAGGTGTGGATGTGGCGCTGACCTCGCAGTCCAGTGCTAGGTTGATGGAGGAGCCGACCCCGCTCTCCTGCAGATACACACCCTGAGAGCGCCGCTGGTGACTCAGATTGGATGACATGAGCAGAGAGCTGGAGAAGGAGTGCTGGGGAAAGAGAAACAAAATATTAATACACCATCCCATTAGTAATTTGCAGATAAAGGTAAGATGGTAATTAATATCTTACCCTGCTCTCTAGTCTGGACTCAACTCGTTGGGCTGTCTTAATCTTGTCCCATGTGTCCTTCCATTTTTCCGTAGGTTGTCCCAACTCAGTTTCCAGGTTCTGCACATCCTGAATTGATATATTAAAAAGATCATAAGGATTCGTGTATGAAGAAAATAATTTCATTATAATGAGGACTTCTGCTTTATTCCTAACCTGCAAGAGTTTGGTGATGGCATCAGGCAGTACTTTACTGAGGCTGTCATAACAAGGCCAGACGATCCTCCGTTGGGACTTGGGAGCCGTCATCTCCTGTCTATCACCGGCTTCCTCCTGTGGCTTTTCCGGCTGACCCCGCACTAATTCCCAGTCAAAGGACGGACCCTCAGAAAGCGTTTCCTCTGTGTAAAAGTCCCAAACCT